TGCTGGATATCAAACTGGGTTGGCCGCATGCAAGGCAAACGCCCTCTCTGCTGTGTTATGGTTCTGCCCCCTGCCCGTTTTCTTTACTTTTGCTCTTCTTTATTTTTTATTTTCATCTACACTTTATTGGAGTTCCTCAGCTGATCTTCTTGGTCCTATCTTGGCATTAAAATCAACAATGGGGGGTATGGTGCCGCCAGCAGGTCTATCTGTACCTGTGAAGCGAGTGCATCAGCAGCCTGATGGCACCGTCAGACTTCCAGATACCCCAAAATTGCTGCTGTGCCTTTGGCCAGACCCCAAAAATTTGGGGCAAAGTTTACCAGGAAAATAAACAGCCAAAAGTTAGGTATGTGGGAAACACCCACAAACCACCTCCGGCTCAGCTATATAATTGAAGGCATGACCTCTCTTGTTCCTGATTGAACCGCTTAATTGCCATGATCCCAGAGACTCAGAAACAAACCTCGAAACCCAGCAGCTTCTGGCAGAAATGCGCCCGGTCTCTGCAATAGGTTACCGGTGCTGGGCCAACCCAGGTGGGAATAGGTTTTGTGCCTTAGCCTGTTTCCCCTGGCGGCCCAGTGGCCGCCATCCTTCAGAGGCCACTGGACAGTCGGGTTTGGGCCCCCAGTGATGAGACACGCAGGGTCTCACGGGATGGGGGTGGAGCCGGTCCGGTCCTCCCCACCCCAACGAGACCCCAAGTCATTGCCCACGAGCGGCCTCTCTGGCTCCTGATCAAGCTGCTTAATGGCCATGATCCCAGAGACTCAGAAACAAATCTCGAAACCCAGCAGCTTTTGGCAGAAATGCGTCTTAACTCAGCAGTAGGTTACTTTCACCGGGCCACCCCAGGGGGAAAAGGGTGTTCTCCCTCCACCTGCTCCCCATTGACGGCTCGGTGGCCATCATCCTCCAGAGGCCACTGGACAATCAGGTCTGGGCTTGCAGTGACAAAACTTGTTGGGCCTCACAGGATGGGGGTGGAGCCGGCCTGGTCTCCCTGTCCCAATGAGACCCCAAGTCATCCCCCACGAATGGCCTCTCTGGCTCCTGATCAAGCTGCTCAATGACCATGATCCCAGAGACTCAGGAGCAAATCTCAAAACCCAGTGGGGTTTGGCAGAAATCCCTCCAGATTTAAAATTTCGGAATTTCAAAATCACATGGCCCTACTGCAGCCACGCGACATCATATGTTTTTCATAACCATCAATAGAACACAAATTGTCTACTGTTGCCTTTTCAGCAGATCTGAGTGTTGGGGTAAAATCTCAAATAATAATGGTGGGTCTGGTGTCGAAATATTGAATGTGATCAAAGTAGAGAGAGAATAATGTGGAAATCATCTGCCCCACAGGTACAGGGAGGGTGTGGGATGGGGATATACTGGGGTTTTTGGTGGTGGCAAATGGGCACTGGTGAAGGTACAGGTGTTTCATTGTATGACTGAGACTTAGACCCGAAAGCTTTGTAACTGCTCTTACGGTGATTCAATAAATAAAATTATAAAAAATGAAAAAAAAAAAGTAATGTGGAGTTCATGCACAATTCAATCAGCCAACTAGTGGCTGAATAAATAGCAGTACTCCTACATAAAAAAAAATCAACAATGATCTTGTACAAGGTGTGGTCTTCTTTATAGAACTTCTCCAGCTCCATGTAGAATTTCTTAATTTCTCCTTCATCATAATTGGATGTTGGTGCGTAGACAATGAAAATAGAAACTGCCGGCAGTGAGCCACATTTATTCATCGGGACCCATGGCCTAGAATGGAATGAACAGGGTGAGAGACTGTCCGAGTTCATCATGTCGACCAAGACCATCTATGTTAACTCACAGTTCCAGAAGGCTGAATCTAACTCACAGTTCCAGAAGGCTGAATCTAACTCACAGTTCCAGAAGGCCAAATCTAAACACTGAACATGGGAGTCTTCCGATGGACGGTTCCACAATGAAATTGACCACATCATATTCAATCGATGGTTTTGCCTGACCGATGTTGCTGTTGTCCCAAAATTCCAAACAGGATCAGACCACTGTCTCCTTCATGCAAAATTCTACTTCACAGAGTGGGGAGAAAGGGCTGCAAAGTTTAAGAAGAGAACTCCCAGAACGACCAGAAACTGGGAGCTCTTTGATACTATTGCTGCAACATGGGAAGATGCCGTCATTGACAACATTGACAAGGAATACAATCGACTGGTTCAGCACCTCCATGATTGTGCGTGGAATGCCAAGAGAGAGATAGCCACAAAAAAAAAAAAAAAAAAAAAGAAAGCCCGTCTTTGAAAACTCTTGAGCTTATTCAACAATGTGGTTTGGTGCATGCCTCCGGGAACCGCAAGTGAACATCTGAGCTTGTAAAGCAGTGCAGAGATGTGATAAAGGAAGGCCTCAAAGAGAGAAGAGTAGCAGTGCTGGTAGATGAGGCAGAAGCCCGGAAAAGCATTCGCAATGCCTGCCTGTCCTTCGCCAACTACAAGACCAAGATGACTGCCTTCTGACGTCCTGATGGATCTATCACATCTTCCAGAAGGGCAATGGAGAAGATTATCCATGACTTCTACTCAGATCTCTTTGATAGCCACGTCCACCTGCCCACATACCAAATTCTGCAGGATGGCTATGTCATTCCCAACGTTCTCCTTCCGAAATCCGACATGCCATTTCGTCGGTAAAGAAACGAACAGCACCTGGCCCAGACAAGGTCAGACCTGAACACCTGAAGAACCTGCCATCAGTACTCATCAATATGCTGGCTCGGCTCTTCACATGCTACCTGTCTGAATGCAAGGTTCTGTCCCAGTGAAAAACCAGCAGGACTGTACTACTGTACAAGAAGGGAGACATCCACAACATTGGCATCTATCACCTGATCTGCCTATTGTCTGTCATCTACAAGCTGTTCACTCAAGTCATCCTGAATAGAATTGGCAGAACACTAGATGAAGGACAACCATACAAGCAAGCCAGTTTCTGAAAAGGATTCAGCACAATTGACCATATCCACATGATAACCAAGCTCATTGAGGTTTCTCGGGAGTTCAAGATGCTGCTCTGTCTAACATTTATTGATTTAAAGAAGGCCTTTGATTTTGTTGAGATTGTAGCGGTCATTGAAGCCCTAGCCAATCAGGGCATTCAAACGCAATACATCAGTATCCTCCGTGAGCTGTGTAATGGATTTACTACCAGGATCTCACCATTCTACAAAGAAGTGATCATTGATATCAAGTGAGGGATTTTGCAGAGTGATATCATTTCACCGAAACTCTTCAGTGCCACCCTTGAGAATGTCATATGATGACTGGAATGGGAAGGGATGGGAGTGAAGATAGACGGTCAGCAACTACACCACCTCCACTTTGCTGATGACATCGTTCTAATAACACCAAACGTTAGCCAAGCAACACAAATGCTGGCCGACTTTGACCGTGAGTGTGGAAAGGTCGGACTCTAGCTGAATCTCATAAAGACAAGGTTTATGAGAAACACTCTCATTCCTGACATTCCATTCCCTCTGAACGGAACGATCATCTCCGAATGCAACAGTTATGTGTACCTAGGTCGAGAATTCAACATGACGAAAGACCTGGCACCTGAGATGTGCAGGAGGAAGAGAACAGCTTGGAACACCTTCAAGAGTGTCAAAGAAATAGCTAAGAGGATGAAGAAACTCCAGCTCCGGGCACATCTCTTTGATTCCACTGTTCTTCCTGCATTAACATAAGCCTCAGAGACCTGGGCCCAACGAAAACAGAATGAGAACACTATTCGGGTCTCCCAAAGAGAAATCGAAAGAGCTATGCTTGGGGTATCATGCTTCACTCAAGTGAGAGAAAGAATCCGGAGTTCTGACCTCCATCGACGGTCAAGAATCAAGGACGCTGACTCATTTGCCAAGGCATCAAAAATCAGATGGGCTGGACATGTAAAGAGATTTGGAGATGACCGCTGGACTAGAGCCATTACTGACTGGATTCCACGGGACGTCAAAAGATCGTGTGACTGCCCACCTAGGAGATGGTCAGAGTTCTTTGTCAAGACCCTGAACGATCGGTTTGAGGCTCTTCGTGTTCCTAGAATGAACAGACGCCATTGGGCTACACTAGCAGGGGACAGGGACAAATGGAGACGTTACTGGCACCCGCTGGAGCAAATCGATGATTAACGAGAAGTCAAGTGATCAAGTGATCAAGTGACACTTTATTGATTGAGGTCTGTGGTTTGAAGGACTGTCACAGATGCTGTGACATCTACATGGCCCCGACACCAGCTGTCATCACCATCCGTGCCTCCCTCCTGCGGAACCCCAAACCTCCCTTTCAATCCCCCGCCCCACCATGCAGATGAGGTGGGGGCCATCCACAAAGTCCAGCCCCCTCCAGGAAGGGGCAGAGGTGCCCTTTGGAGCACCCTGGACCTGGGCCTGGCACTGGCGTGAGTCATCCCTGTATTGTGGGAAGGTGACAAGTCAGTGTGAGTCTCGGGTGGCTTCTACCTGGGGCCTGGGGGATCCCGAGCTGCTTTCTCCTGGATAATGCATCAGGCGGAGGAGGGAGGAGACTAAGATCCAGGCCATGGGCAGGGGGGTCAAAGTGTGGCCATAGGCAGTGTAGACACAGCAATATAGAACGCGAGGTGTGTCATGACCCAGGCAGAAGCAGAGTGTAGATGGGACATAGACAGGAAGAGGGTCAAAGTCCAGGGCCAGTTTGTGAAGCCGGGCGTGATGGAGAGTGAAGAGATTCAGTTGGGAACTGGTGTGTAGACAGGATAGCATGCACGGGTGAGGGTCTCGGTGCAGGGGCAGGTGGTGCAGACGGGACAGAGAGGCCAGGAAGGGTCTGCGAGGTGGAAGCATCAGTGTTTGTGCCTGCAGTGCTGAGGCAGCTCTGTAGGCACAGGGTCGCGAGTCCCAGGAGGGCAGTCAAACAGGGCAGGTCGCGGGCCTGTAGCATCCTGCTGCCCGGGAAGTGGCTGGCCCGGGCTCATCAGGGATCCTCATGGGTCACGTGGATCGGTGTCTTCCAGCTGAGCCAGGCCTCCGCCAGCACTGCCAGCAGCAGCAGGAGCACTAGGCCGGCCAGGCCCAGCCGCACAGCATTGCCTGCAGGGGTCCCTGCAGCAGAGTCTGGGGAGCAGGGGATAGCAGGGGGTGGGTCAGCCCTGCCCAGAGCCTGGCTCACCCCTCAGGCCCCTGGCCCAGGATCAGTATCTACCTTCCTCCACGTCCGTGGTCGGTGGCTGGGAAGAAGCTGTGGGGGTGTCTGAGGAGGAAGAGCAGCAGTGGGCAGTGGGCCCAGCTGGCACTGCTCCTCCTGGGGTGTCCCCGCATGGTCCCTCTGTCCCTGCTTTGGGCTTCACTGTCCTCTCCCAGCTCCTGCCGCGCCCCTCTCTGTCCCTCTGTCCTGTTCTATCACAGACACGTGGACAGCTGGTCCGAGTCTGGTGTGTTCACAGGATGCCACCCGGGGCTTTGCCCCTGATCCCCCACATACATTTGGGGATTGTTTACTGCGCAGGTAAAGGGACCACTTTATTTCCCAGCTGTCCTGCCCGCACTGTCCATGATGTCCCGCAGGTCAGTGTGTGCGTTCACACGTGTCCTCTGTGGACAGCTGTATCTGCATGCTGTGGAACGGTGTCCGCCCATGGTGACTCTTGCGCCATGCTCACTGCTTGGCACTCCCAGAGCTGACGGCTGCGGCCTCCCCTCAGCGGCATCACAGACAAGCCACCTGTGACCTTTGGGTGTTTATTTCCCAGACATTGTGTCTCTTGGACAGGTCGGAGACTGACCTGGAGAAGCGTGGAAAGACCTAGAAACTCTGATCTGTTGCTCTGGTTGCTAAGGGCCTTCAGTTCTGCAAGGTTCGCTCTTCACACAGGCTTAAGCCTGCACGTGGCTGCATCGCTGATGATCTTGGGGAGTGCTCAGCATCTGACACTCATGGGGAGCACTCAGTATTTCACATTCATGGGGAGCACTCAGTGTCTGACACTTTTGGAGAGCACTCAGTGTCTGAGTCTCATGGGGAGCACTCAGCGCCTGCCCATGTAGTTCGTGATAAACAGAAAACTCCACAAACAAGTTTGCCGTGCTTAGGGGGAAATCAGCCACAGTGACAGGCCCTGCCTTGAGTGTGTGACCCCCTTATGCCTGCCTCTGAGGCACTGGGCCCAAATGCTTTTCTCATTCCAAGAAAGGTGTCAACCAAGCAAGGAGGGGCAAAGGCCATCGCTGGTGATCTCTGAGAAGCTGAAGTCCATGAAGGGGACATTTCCCGATCAACAACAGAGATCAGTATCTTCTGAAGCAAGAGGAATGGCACCCCTCACGTCAAGGGGAAACTGGAAACAGGGCGCAGAGAAAGCACGAGGGCACTGGCCTTCGCACGCGTCTGATCTGGGTCTCAGCTACCCCAAAGGGCACTCTGAGGGTTGCCAGGAGTGACCTTTGAGCACAGAGCCAGTAGTGAGTCCTTAGTACAGCTGGTGTGGCCCCAACCAAACCAGGGATAATAGACTAAAGCGTGCACAGCTGCTGAGAGGAGGCAAGTCCGCCTAGAAACCAGCAGGGTGCCAGCAACCACCAATGCAATTTCTGTTCAAGAGTGTTTCCTATGTGACTCTGATTGTTGGACTCCAGAAGCCCCCAAGGAACTGTTTCCCCCTCATGCAGAATTCTCTCTTCTGGGCCCTGTATCTCCCTGCTGCAAGCAAGGTTCCAGAGCCTGCAGGTGGGACCTGACAGTGAGACCCCCTCCCTCTCGTCAATGCAGCAAAAGGATTCGGGCTTTGATTTGTGTGTGATTTGGAATCTCGAGAGTTCAGAGCCACTGAGGGAGGAATGGCAGTGGGTCACTGCGGGACTATCTGCAACTTGGCTTTTCCATTTCTGCTGACAGCAGTTACTCACCTGTTGGCTTTGCTGGTCTCTCGGGTAAGGCAGTGAAAGGAGCCTCTGAAGAAGGGACAGAGGTGGGCTTAGTTCTGTCTTTCCCGGGGACCCACCCAGACTCCCGCCCCCTCAATACATTCCTGAGCCCTGGGAAGAGGAGAAAGGACTGCCTAGTGGGATCAGCCCAGCATCAGGTCTATGCGATGGGTTGACATCACCCCCCACCCTCAATCTCCCCCAAACCAAATCCTCAGACCAGACAACTGGTTCTGGGGGCCCCTGGGGAAGGGAGGGGATTCTTCACCTTTAACTTGCAGCTGCACTGGGTCACTGGGGTGAGACCACACATAAGGGGTCTTGTGGAAGTGTCCGAAGCACCTGTAGGAGCCTGCCTGTGTGGATTTGACTGGGTCCATGATGAAACTGGCCTGGCTGCCGCCCCGTGGGGGGAAGCTTGATTTCTGAGGGGTTTGAAGCCCACTCCCTTGGACGAGAAGAAGCTCATCAAACCTGACCCGGGAGAAGCATTGCATCTGCACCCGCTGCCCCGCGCTCACCACCGTGTCCGGCACGCTGTCCAGGGAGGGTTTGTCATAAGCTCCTGGAAGGAGGTTTTGGGGTCAGGGGAGGCCACACATGCTTGTGTCCTTGTCCCCACGCTGGGCTCTTTCTGCTGCCCCTCACATCCATCGCGGCCGATCCTGGGCATTCCCCTGTCCAGTGTCCACTCACCGGTCATCACCAGCGGCTGGGGATCACTCTGCGGGGACCAGGCATGCCGAACCTTATAGGAACAGATGTACAGCCCTGCCCACTCCTTGGTCATGAAGGGGTGGTGGAAAGTGTTCCCCAGCTGCACATGCTTCTGGGCCGAACCTCCAGGTGTTTCCACTTTAGAGATCTGATAATATTCTGCATTGGGGTGCCCCGAGCATGTGATGGTCACAGGCTGCCCTTCAGGAATCAGGGAACCCGTTGTCACTGTCACCCGAGGAGGAGGCAGAGCCCCTAGCAAAAGGGATAGAAATTCCATGTGAGTTTTTAAACTTCAGGGCCAATGCCATCAATCAGGGGATGGGGAGGGGGTCATTATGGGATCATCTGCAACTTGGGTCTTCCATTTCCACTGACAGCAATTACTCACCTGTCCGCTTTGCTGGTCTCTTGGGTGAGGAAGTGAAAGGAGCCTCTGAAGAGGGGACAGAGGTGGGCTTAGTTCTGTCTCTCCGGGGACTCACCCAGATTCCCACACCCTCAGTCCATTCCTGAGCCCTGGGAAGTGGAGGAAGGACCGCCTAGTGGGGTCAGACCATCATCAGGTCTATGCGATGGGTTGACAGCACCCCCCACATGCAGTCTGCCCCAAACCAAATCCTCAGACCAGAGAACTGGTTCTGGAGGCCCTTGGGGAAGGGAAGGGATTCTTCACCTTTAACCTGCAGCTGCACGGGGTCACTGGGGTGAGACCACACATAAGGACTCAGGGTTCCTTACCCCACCTGCATGTCTGCAGGTGCTGGTAGGAGCAGAGACCCTCACTCAGACCCTGGAGCAGACGTGTGGCTGAAGCCCCCTCCCGTCCAGGGAACACTCACCGTCCAGTGCCCCCATCCATGATCAGTGGACACTCACCGTATTGTCCCCCTCATCATGAGAAGTGGACTTCACCATCCTGTCCCGTGTCCATGAGCAGTGGACACTAACTAGCTTATCTCCATGCCTAGAGCAGCAGACACTCACCATCCTGACATCATCCATGAACAGTGGACACTCACCATATTGTCCCCACCATCCTGCTGACGATCAGTGAACAATCACCATCCTGTCCCTCTCATTCTTAGCTGTGGAATTCACCATCCTGTCCTGTATCCAGAAGCAGTGGACACTAACTGACCTATCTCCCTGCCTAGAGCAGTGGACACTCACCATTCTGTCCTCTGTCCATGAGCAGTGGATGCTCACCATGCGATTCGAGTGAGTCCTGGAGCAGCAGCTCTGGAAGCAGAGACGGCTTACAAGGACAGCCTCATTGTGGTCCTGCCCCCCCCGAGGGTTGCCTGGGCCTCCACTCACCCACACACAGCAGGATGACGAGGACCCCACACATGGCCATGTGCACTGTTCCTGGCTGCTGGGAGGGTGCTCTAACAATCTAGGTGCAAGAAGCGTGGCGTCCCTTCTCCCCGGGGAAAGGCGAGTGCCCTGGACCCACTTCCTCCTGCCCAGACAGGAAGAGGAACCCAAGTACCCTCAGGCCCCTCCCTGCCTGCCCGCAGCTGCAGCAGATGTGGACTCAGGTCACGTTGGTGGCCCAGTCCCCACAGTGAGGGAGCAGAGTGGCCCGGCCCTGTTTTGGAGCCTTCTTGGGCATGTTTGCATGCCTGCCCTGCAGGGCTGGGAGCTGTGTGTCCCTGGGTGCAGACAGGCCAGAGGAGGGGGACCGCCCCTCCCTGTGTTCTCTTGTCCCCTGCATGAATCTCCTGGCTCTAAACGAGGGGCTGACCTGGAATGCCCTGGCCTTCTCCCACTGTCCCCTGTATTTCCTACCTCCAGGAGCTGCCCCCGCTCTCTCCCCTCTGGCCTGGGTGTGTGTCCTCCATGTGGGCGCCCTCTGGGTGTCCCTGCCTTGCTGGCCCCAGCCTTCCTGATTCTGTGAGTGCTGGGCTCTGCCCTCTAGGGATGTAAGAGAAGGACTGATTCAGAGTCAGCGCCTAACCCTGGGCCACCTGGGTGGGGCCAATGGCACTTCCGCCTGTCTGGAGAAGTTGAACCTTGTGGGTGATGCCCCACTTGCCTGCACCGGGGACTGGAAATGGGACCACATGTCTGCCTTTTCTGATGCCTCTAGTTATCTTCCTTCCCAGGAGGCTGAAGTCTGGGGACCCGAGGTCACAAACACAGCTAAGGCTGCTGAGTCACAGGGCCCACCAGATCTCATCCTTTGCAGCTGAATGTCTAGAATCTTCTGTGGGCACCAGAGCCATGAAGGGCTGAGCCTTTCCTCTGTCCCCATGTTCCATCGGGGAGCTGGTCCCCCACTAGCTGTCCTGCCCCTGTCCTTCCTTCCTCCCTCCCTCCGTCTCTCCCTCCCTCCCTCCCTCCCTCCTTCTCTCCCTCCCTCCCTCTATCCTTCCTACTTTCCTTCCTTCCTTCCTTCCTTCCTTCCTTCCTTCCTTCCTTCCTTCCTTCCTTCCTTTTTTCCTTCCTTCCTTCCTTCCTTCCTTCCTTCCTTTTTTCCTTCCTTCCTTCCTTCCTTCCTTCCTTCCTTCCTTCCTTCCTTCCTTCTCTCTCCTTCCTTCCCTTTCTTTCTTTCTTTCTTTCTTTCTTTCTTTCTTTCTTTTCTTTCTTTTCCATTTTGGGTCACACCTAGCGAGGTTACTTCTGCTTTGCACTCAGGAATCACACTGCAGTGTTCAGGGGACCATATGGGGTGCTGGATATCAAACTGGGTTGGCCGCATGCAAGGCAAACGCCTTCTCTGCTGTGTTATGGTTCTGCCCCCCGCCCCTTTTCTTCACTTTTGCTCTTCTTTATTTTTTATTTTCATTTACACTTTATTGGAGTACTTTGGCTGATCTTCTTGGTCCTATCTTGGCATTAAAATCAACAATGGGGGGTATGGTGCCGCCAGCAGGTCAATCTGTACCTGTGAGGCGAGTGCATCAGCAACCTGATGGTGTCGTCAGACTTCCAGATACCCCAAAATTGCTGCTGTGCCTTTGGCCAGACCCCAAAAACTTGGGGCAAAGTTTACCAAGAAAATAAATGGCTAAAAGTTAGGTATGTGGGAAACACACCCACAAACCACCTCCGGCTCAGCTATATAATTGGAGGCATGATCTCTCTGGTTCCTGATTGAACTGCTTAATGGACATGATCCCAGAGACTCAGAAACAACCCTCGAAACCCAGTAGCTTTTGGCAGAAATGTGCCCGGTCTCTGCAATAGGTTACCGGTGTTGGGCCAACCCAGGTGGGAATAGGTTTCCTGCTTTAGCCTGTTTCCCCTGGTGGCCCAGTGGCCGCCATCCTTCAGAGACCACTGGACAGTCGGGTTTGGGCCCCCAGTGATGAGACACGCAGGGCCTCATGGGATGGGGGTGGAGCTGGTCCGGTCCTCCCCACCCCAACGAGACCCCAAGTCATTGCCCACGAACGGCCTCTCTGGCTCCTGATCAAGCTGCTTAACGGCCATGATCCCAGAGACTCAGAAACAAATCTCGAAACCCAGCAGCTTTTGGCAGAAATGCGTCTGGACCCAGCAGTAGGTTACTTTCGCCGGGCCACCCCAGGGGGGAAAGGGTGTTGTCCCTCCACCTGCTCTCCCTTGACAGCTCGGTGGCCATCATCCTCCAGAGGCCATTGGACAGTCAGGTCTGGGCCTGCAGTGACGAAACTTGTTGGGCCTCACAGGATGGGGGTGGAGCTGGTCCTGGTCTCCCTGTCCCAACGAGACCCCAAGTCATCGCCCATGAACGGCCTCTCTGGCTCCCAATCAAGCTGCTCAACGGCCATGATCCCAGAGACTCAGGAGCAAATCTCGAAACCCAGTGGCTTTTGGCAGAAATCCCTCCAGATTTAAGTTTTAAAATTTTGGAATTTCAAAATCACATGGCCCTACTGCAGCCACGTGACATCATATGTTATTCATAATCAGCAATAGAACACAAATTATCTACTGTTGCCTTTTCAGCAGATCTGAGTGTTGGGGTAAAATCTCAAATAATAATGGTGGGTCTGGTGTCGAAATATTGAATGTGATCAAAGTAGAGAGGGAATAATGTGGAAATCATCTGCCCCACAGGCAGGGGGAGGGTGTGGGGTGGGGGTATACTGGGATTTTTGGTGGTGGAGAATGGGCACTGGTGAAGGTACAGGTGTTTCATTGTATGACCAAGACTTAGACCCGAAAGCTTTGTAACTGCTCTCATGGTGATTCAATAAATAAAATTATAAAAAATGAAAAAAAGAGTAAGGTGGAGTTCATGCACAATTCAATCAGCTAATCAGTGGCTGAATAAATAGCAGTACTCCTACATAAAAAAAATCAACAATGATCTTGTAGAAGGTGTGGTCTTCTTTATATAACTTCTCCAGCTCCATGTAGAACTTCTCAATTTCTCCTTCATCATAATTGGATGTTGGTGCGTAGACAATGAAAATAGAAACTGCTGGCAGTGAGCCACATTTATTCATCGGGACCCATGGCCTAGAATGGAATGAACAGGGTGAGAGACTGTCCGAGTTCATCATGTCGACCAAGACCATCCATGTTAACTCACAGTTCCAAAAGGCCGAATCTAACTCACAGTTCCAGAAGGTCAAATCTAAACACTGAACATGGGAGTCTCCCAATGGACGGTTCCACAATGAAATTGACCACATCATATTCAATCGACGGTTTTGCCTGACTGATGTTGCTGTTGTCCCAAAATTCCAAACGGGATCAGACCACCGTCTCCTTCATGCAAAATTCTACTTCACAGAGCGGGGAGAAAGGGCTGCAAAGTTTAAGAAGAGAACTCCCAGAACGATCACCAACTGGGAGCTCTTTGACACTATTGCTGCAACATGGGAAGATGCCGACATTGACAACATTGACGAGGAATACGATCGACTGGTTCAGCACCTCCATGATTGTGTGAGGAATGCCCAGAGAGAGATAGCCACACACACACACACACACACACACACACACACACACAAACCCCAGAAAAAACACCTGTCTTCGAAAACTCTTGAGCTTATTCACCAATGTGGTTTGGCGCATGCCTCCGGCAACCACAAGCGAACATCCGAGCTTGCAAAGCAGTGCAGAGATGCGATAAAGGAAGGCCTCAAAGAGAGAAGAGCAGCAGTGCTGGTAGATGCGGCAGAAGCCCGGAAAAGCATTCGCAATGCCTGCCTGTCCTTTGCCAACTACAAGACCAAGATGACTGCCCTCTGATGTCCTGATGGATCTATCACATCTTCCAGAAGGGCAATGGAGAAGATTATCCATGACTTCTACTCAAATCTCTTTGATAGCCACGTCCACCTGCCCACATACCAAATTCTGCAGGATGGGTATGTCATTCCCAACATTCTCCCTTCTGAAATCCGACATGCCATTTCATCAGTAAAGAAATGAACAGCACCTGGCCCAGACAAGGTCAGACCTGAACACCTGAAGAACCTGCCATCAGTCCTCATCAATACGCTGGCTCTGCTCTTCACACGCTACCTGTCTGAATGCAAGTTTCCATCCCAATGGAAAACCAGCAGGACTGTATTACTGTACAAGAAGGGAGACATCCACGACATTGGCAACTATCGCCTGATCTGCCTATTGTCTGTCATCTACAAGCTGTTCACTCAAGTCATCCTGAACAGGATTGGCAGAACACTAGATGAAGGACAACCATACAAGCAAGCCGGTTTCCGAAAAGGATTCAGCACAATTGACTATACCCACACGATAACCAAGCTCATTGAGGTTTCTCAGGAGTTCAAGATGCCGCTCTGTCTAACGTTCATTGATTTAAAGGCCTTTGATTTTGTTGAGATGATTTAACGTTCATTGATTTAAAGGCCTTTGATTTTGTTGAGATGGAAGCGGTCATTGAAGCCCTAGCCAATCAGGGCATTCAAACTCAATACATCAGGATCCTCCGTGAGCTGTGTAATGGATTCACTACCAGGATCTCACCATTCTACAAAGAAGTGATCATTGATATCAAGAGAAGGGTTCGGCAGGGTGACACCATTTCACCGAAACTCTTCAGTGCCACCCTTGAGAATGTCATGTGACGACTGGAATGGGAAGGGATGGGAGTGAAGATAGACGGTCAGCAACTACACCACCTCCACTTTGCTGATAACATTGTTCTAATAACACCAAACTTTAGCCAACCAGCATAAATGCTGGCCGACTTCGACCGTGAGTGTGGTCGAAAGGTCGAAAGGTCAGACTCTAGCTGAATCTCATGAAGGCAAGGTTTATGAGAAACAGTCTCGTTCCTGACATTCCATTCGCTCTCAATGAAACGATCATCTCCGAATGCAACAGTTATGTGTACCTAGGTTGAGAAGTCAACATGATGAAAGACCTGGCACCTGAGATGTGCAGGAGGAAGAGAACAGCTTGGAACACCTTCAAGAGTGTCAAAGAAATAGCTAAGAGGATGAAGAACCTCCAGCTCTGGGCACATCTCTTTGATTCCACTGTTCTTCCTGCATTAACATACGCCTCAGAGACCTGGGCCCAACGAAAACAGAATGAGAACGCTATATGCTTGGGGTATCATGCTTCACTCAAGTGAGAGAAAGAATCTGGAGTTCTGACCTCCATCGATGGTGAAGAATCAAGGACGCTGACTCATTTGCCAAGGCATCAAAAATCAGATGGGCTGGACATGTAATGAGATTTGGAGATGACCGCTGGACTAGAGCCATTACTGAATGGATTCCACGGGACGTCAAAAGATCGTGTGGCTGCCCACCTATGAGATGGTCAGAGTTCTTTGTCAAGACCCTGAATGATCGGTTTGAGGCTCTTCGTGTTCCTAGAACAAACAGACGCCATTGGGCTACACTAGCATGGGACAGGGACAAATGGAGATGTTACTGGCACCCGCTCGAGCAAATCAATGATTAACGGGAAGTGAAGTGATCAAGTGACACTTTATTGATTTGAAGGTTTGTGGTTTGAAGGACTGTCACAGATGCTGTGACGTCTACATGGCCTCGACACCAGCTGTCATCACCATCCGTGCCTCCCTCCTGCGGAACCCCACACCCTCCCTTTCAATCCCCCACCCCACCATGCAGATGTCGTGTGGGCCATCCAGACGGTCAGCAACTACAGGAAGGGGCAGAGGTGCCCTTTGGAGCACCCTGGACCTGGGCCTGGTGCTGGCGTGAGTCATCCCTGTATTGTGGGAAGGTGACAAGTCGGTGTGAGTCTTGAGTGGCTTCTACCTGGGGCCTGGGGGATCCCGAGCTGCTTTCTCCTGGATAATGCAGCAGGCGGCTGATGGCAGGAGGGAGGAGACTAAGGTCCAGGCCATGGGCAGGGGGGTCAAAGTATGGCCATAGGCAGTGTAGACACAGCAATATAGAACGCGAGGTGTGTCATGACCCAGGCAGAAGCAGAGTGTAGATGGGACATAGACAGGAAGAGGGTCAAAGTCCAGGGCCAGTTTGTGAAGCCGGCTCTGATGGAGAGTGAAGAGATTCAGCTGGGAACTGCAGTATAGACAGGATAGCATGCACGGGTGAGGGTCTCGGTGCAGGGTCAGGTGGTGTAGACGGGACAGAGAGGGCAGGAAGGGTCCGCGAGGTGGAAGCATCAGTGTTTGCTCCTGTAGTGTTGAGGCAGCTCTGCAGGCACAGGGTCGCGAGTCCCAGGTGGGCAGTCAAACAGGGCAGGTCGTGGGCCTGTAGCATCCTGCTGCCCTGGAAGTGGCTGGCCCGGGCCCCTCAGGGATCCTCATGGGTCACGTGGATCGGTGTCTTCCAGCTGAGCCAGGCCTCCGCCAGCACTGCCAGCAGCAGCAGGAACACTAGGCCGGCAAGGCCCAGCCGCACAGCATTGCCTGCAGGGGTTCCTGCAGCAGAGATGGGGAGTAGGGGATAGCAGGGGGTGGGTCAGCCCTGCCCAGAGCCTGGCTCACCCCTCAGGCCCCTGGCCCAGGATCAGTATCTACCTTCCTCCACGTCCATGGTCGGTGGCTGGGAAGAAGCTGTGGGGGTGTCTGAGGAGGAAGAGCAGCAGTGGGCAGTGGGCCCAGCTGGCACTGCACCTCCTGGGGTGACCCCTCATGGTCCCTCTGTCCCTGCTTTGGCCTTCACTGTCCTCTCCCAGCTCCTGCCGCGCCCCTCTCTGTCCATCTGTCCTGTTCTATCACAGACACGTGGACAGCTGGTCCGAGTCTGGTGTGTTCACAGGATGCCACCTGGGGCTTTGCCCCTGATCCCCCACATACATTTGGGGATTGTTTACTGCGCAGGTAAAGGAACCACTTTATTTCCCAGCTGTCCTGCCCGCACTGTCCATGATGTCCCGCAGGTCAGTGTGTGTGTTCACACGTGTCCTCTGTGGACAGCTGTATCTGCATGCTGTGGAACAGTGTCCGCCCATGGTGACCCTTGCACCGTGCTCACTGCTTGGCACTCCCAGGGCTGACGGCTGCGGCCTCCCCTCAGCGGCATCATGGCCAAGCCACCTGTGACCTTTGGGTGTGTATTTCCCAGACATTGTGTCTCTTGGACAGGTCGGAGACTGACCTGGATAAGCGTGGAAAGACCTAGAAACTCTGATCTGTTGCTCTGGTTGCTAAGGGCCTTCAGTTCTGCAAGGTTTGCTCTTCACACAGGCTTAAGCCTGCACGTGGCTGCATCGCTGATGATCTTGGGGAGTGCTCAGCACCTGACACTCATGGGGAGCACTCAGTATTTCACATTCATAGGGAGCACTCAGTGCCTCACACTCATGGGGAGCACTCAGTGTCTGACACTTTTGGAGAGCACTCAGTGCCTGAGTCTCGTGGGGAGCACTCAGCGGCTGCCCATGGAGTTCTTGATAAACAGAAAACTCCACAAACAAGTTTGCCAGAAATCAGCCACAGTGACAGGCCCTACCTCGAGTGTGTGACCCCCTTATGCCTGCCTCTGAGGCACTGGGCCCAAATGCTTTTCTCATTCCAAGAAAGGTGTCAACCAAGCAAGGAGGGGCAAAGGCCATCGCTGGTGATCTGTGAGAAGCTGAAGTCCATGAAGGGGACAATTCCCAATCAACAGCAGAGATCAGTATCTTCTGAAGCAAGAGGAATGGCATCCCTCACGTCAAGGGGGAATTGGAAACAGGGCGCAGAGAAAGTACGAGGGCACTGGCCTTCGCACGCGTCTGATCTGGATCTCAGGTACACCAAAGGGCACTCTGGGGGTTTCCAGGAGTGACCTCTGAGCACAGAGCCAGTAGTGAGTCCTGAGCACAGCCGGTGTGGCCCCAATCAAACCAGGGATAATAGACTACAGCGTGCACAGCTGCTGAGAGGAGGCAAGTCCACCTAGAAACCAGCGGGGTGCCAGCAACCACCAATGCAATTTCTGTTCAAGAGTGTTTCCTATGTGACTCTGATTATTGGACTCCAGAAGCCCCCAAGGAAGTGTTTCCCCCCCATGCAGAATTCTCTCTTCTGGGCCCTGTATCTCCCTGCTGCAAGCAATGTTCCAGAGCCTGTAGGTGGGACCTGACAGTGAGACCCCCTCCCGCTCGTCAATGCAGTGAAAGTATTCAGGCTTTGATTTGTGTGTGATTTGGAATCTCGAGAGTTCAGAGCCACTGAGGGAGGAATGGCAGGTGGGTCACTGCAGGACTATCTGCAACTTGGCTTTTCCATTTTCACTGACAGCAGTTACTCACCCGTTGGCTTTGCTGGTCTCTCGGGTAAGGCAGTGAAAGGAGCCTCTGAAGAAGGGACAGATGTGGGCTTAGTTCTGTCTCTCCCGGGGACCCACCCAGACTCCCGCCCCCTCAATCCATTCCTGAGCCCTGGGAAGAGGAGGAAGGACCGCCTAGTGGGGTCAGACCATCATCAGGTCTATGCGATGGGTTGACATCACCCCCCACCCGCAATCTCCCCCAAACCAAATCCTCAGACCAGACAACTGGTTCTGGCGGCCCTGGGGAAGGGAGGGGATTCTTCACCTTTAACTTGCAGCTGCACTGGGTCACTGGGGTGAGACCACACATAAGGGGTCTTGTGGAAGTGTCCGAAGCACCTGTAGGAGCCTGCCTGTGTGGATTTGACTGGGTCCATGATGAAACTGGCCTGGCTTCCGCCCCTTGGGGGGAAGCTCGGTTTCTGGTGTGTTTGAAGCCCTCTCTCTTGGACGAGAAGAAGCTCATCAAACCTGACCTGGGAGAAGCATTGCATCTGCACCCACTGTCCCGCGCTCACCACCGTGTCCGGCACGCTGTACAGGGAGGGTTTGTCATAAGCTCCTGGAAGGAGGTTTTGGGGTCAGGGGAGGCCACACATGCTTGTGTCCTTGTCCCCATGCTGGGCTCTTTCTGCTGCCCCTCACATCCATCGCGGCCGATCCTGGGCATTCCCCTGTCCAGTGTCCACTCACCGGTCATCACCAGCGGCACGGGATCACTCTGCGGGGACCAGGCATGCCCGACCTGGTAGGAGCAGATGTACAGCCCCGCCGACTCCTTGGTCATGGCGGGGAGGTGGAGAGTGTTCCCTAGCTGCACATGCTTCTGGGCCGAACCTCCAGGTGTTTCCACTTTAGAGATCTTATAATATTCTGCATTGGGGTGCCCCGAGCATGTGATGGTCACAGGCTGCCCTTCAGGAATCAGGGAACCCATTGTCACTGTCACCCGAGGAGGAGGCAGAGCCCCTAGCAAAAGGGATAGGATGAACTCAGGGTTCCTGACCCCACCAGCATGTCTGCAGGTGCTGGTAAGAGCAGAGACCCTCACTCAGACCCTGGAGCAGACGTGTGGCTGCAGCCCCACTCATCCAGGGAACACTCACCGTCCAGTGCCCCCATCCATGATCAGTGGACACTCACTGTATTGTCCCCCTCATCAAGAGAAGTGGACTTCACCATTCTGTCTTGTGTCCATGAGCAGTGGACACTAACTAACCTATCTCCCTGCCTAGAGCAGTGGACACTCACCATCCTGACATCATCCATGAGCAGTGGACACTGCCCTGTCTACCATCCATGATCAGTGGACACTCACCGTATTGTTCCCCTCATCATGAGAAGTGGACTTCACCATCCTGTCCCGCGTCCAGGAGCAGTGGACACTAACTAACTTATCTCCCTGTCTAGAGCAGTGGACACTTACCATCCTGACATCATCCATGAGCAGTGGACACTCACCATAGTGTTCCCACCATCCTGCTGATGATCAGTGAACAGTCACCATCTTGTCCCTCTCATTCTTAGCTGTAGAATTCACCATCCTATCCCATATCCAGAAGCAGTGGACACTAACTGACCTATCTCCCTGCCTAGAGCAGTGGACACTCACCATTCTGTCCTCTGTCCATGAGCAGTGGATGCTCACCATGCGATTCGAGTGAGTCCTGGAGCAGCAGCTCTGGAAGCAGAGACGGCTTACAAGGACAGCCTCACTGTGGTCCTGCCCCCCCCCCCCCCGAGGGTTGCCTGGGCCTCCACTCACCCACACACAGCAGGATGAGGAGGACCCCACACATGGCCATGTGCACTGTTTCTGGCTGCTGGGAGGGTGCTCTGACAATCTAGGTGCAAGAAGCGAGGTGACCTTGCTCCCCGGGGAAAGGCAAGTGCCCTGGACCCACTTCCTCCTGCCCAGACAGGAAGAGGAACCCAGGAACCCTCAGGCCCCTCCCTGCCTGCCCGCAGCTGCAGCAGATGTGGACTCAGGTCACGTTGGTGGCCCAGTCCCCGCAGTGAGGGGGCAGAGTGGCTCGGCCCTGGTTTGGGGTCTTCTTGGGCACGTTTGCATGCCTGCTCTGCAGGGCTGGGAGCTGTGTGTCCCTGGGTGCAGACAGGCCAGAGGAGGGGGACCGTCCCTCCCTGTGTCCTCTTGTCCCCTGCACCAGTCTCTTTCTGGCTCTAAATGAGGGACTGACTGGGACTGCTCTGGACTTCCCAGTCTCTCACTGCCCATCAGTCAGGGGCTCCCAGTACATCTCTCTGGGTTGATATATTCTAGAACCATCTAATGTCAGGTTGGAGCAGCCTCAGCCTGCAGATCACCCCCTCATGTTCAGGGACACTGAGCTGCTCCCAGGCCTGCTCGTCTCTGGGTCTCCTTTGAGGGCTGTCTCGGGGACCCCCTCCCCAGTGCTCCTGCCCCCCTTCCTCTTGTCCTGGTTTGGCAGGACCAGGGCACTCTGAACCTCTGGGATGAAGTCAGCTCTGTGCTCTGCTCCAACTAGTACCCTGCCATCCTCAGCATATCATTGGTACTGTGCAGCTGCCCTGTAGCCGCCTCGGCCAGGTCACTTGCTGCCTGCCCCACGGTGGCCCAGAGCACTCGGCGAGAGGCTGGTGCACACGGCTGCCAGGGGCTGACCATGCCTGGTTCCAACACCAGCACCTCTGGGGCTAGTCACCTCTCACTCTCCAGGTTCTGATAGTCTGGGCCTCTTTGTTTCTGCAGGAGGCACCTGCCCTGCTGGGATGGGGTTCCCAGGTCCTGCAGGTCAGCATCTGTGAGTGTCCCTGTGCCTGGAGCACTCTCTACTCATGGGCTGTCTTGGAAGTCAACAATATCACGTGGAGAATAGCAGGTGCCCGAGGGGGTCTGGCAGGGTCCTCACTGTGCAGGGGTCAGCAGTAGGCCCGCAGTGTCCTAGCAGGGGCCGGCGAAGGGGAGTCGCCCCCTTTCTGCAGGGAGCTGGTGCAGCTGAGGGTGGAGTTCAGGAACTGCTGGTCACTGTGGGGCATGCCCATGTGCTTTGGGCCCCATGCCATGGGCAGTGCATGAGGTGCTGGGAAAATCCTGCTTTAGTGCTCAGGGTTTGATTAAGGAAATCCCTGTCTATTTTTATTTTGAGTCTTATTATTTTGTGGTTGTGTTTTGGCTTTTGGCTCATATCAGTAGTGCTCATGGTTTATTCCTGCTCCCTGTTCAGGGGTTTGTCCTGGGGGTGCTGGCACCCAAACCTGGCCTCAGTTCCAGAGAGTCCAGTGGCCAGCTTCCTGCCCTTCCACCCACCATCTTCTGGCAGCTGTGAGGTTCCTTGTAGGGGGTTGCTGAGAGGTTCACGGGAGTCCCTGGAGACTTGGGGAGACCCCAGAAGAGGCAGATTCCCCAAAGGCAGCCCACTGAAGCTTCAGTGTATGCTGAACATCCTCTGATCCTTGCAGACACACCTCAGATCCCCTGGACACCGTGGGGCTCTCAGGCAATACTGCCTTAACTGACTTGGAGGCTGGAAGGGCATCTATTACAATGCATGCAGACCCCCAGCTATGGGATCTCCCTGGGGTGCCCTGGGGTCCTTGACAACTGTTGAGGGAAGCGCTAGCTGGGGGATCCAGGTCTTGTTAAAGGAGAGGGTGGCCCTCAAGGGTCAGGGTCTCATCTCTTCTGATCAAAGGGTCCAAGTCATTGCACTCCGGGGCAGTCCCCAGGATCCTTAGCTGGTGTTCACCAGGGGCCACTGCAGGAAGAACAAGATCTAATCCCAGCCCTGCCAGGTTCACACTGAGGACCGTGGGCCTGTGACCTATCATTCTCTCTCAGAGTCCAGTTCTTTCATGGGTGACAGCCTTGTGCTCCTCCCTCCCACTCACAGTCAACAGCTGAAGTTGCCTCCCAACTCACTGTGGCCCGTACCGGCACCAGGGGTCTTAAGAGTCCCTGTACATTCTCCTCTGGGTCTCTGTGATTTCTGTCCTGCTACTTACCCTCCTCCTGTTCATCATCCTTCAGCATCAGCATCCAGGCAGGTGCGGGCCATCAGGTAAGTGAATGACAGACAACTTGTCACCTGAGTCTGGAACTCTTGCTCTACAGACCTCTCAAAGGAGCTGAGGGGAGCAGCCAGAACATTTTTCATATGCAAAATATCTCCAGGTTTAAAAATTCTCCACATAAAATGATCATTATTTCTTTTTCTTTTCCTTCCTTGTTTGCTTTTTTTTTGGTCACACCCCTATGCTATGCTCAGACTTACTCCTGGTACTGTGCTCAGGGATCATTCCTGGTGGGCTTTGGGGGCCATATGTGGTGTGAGGTCATTCATGTACAAGATAGTGCCTTCTCTGTTGTCTCATTGTGCTGACCCTAAGCAGACCACTATTTCAAGGCAGCTTGATGTTCTCTCTACAATCATCTTGGAACAGATACTTGGGGTTCCAGAAAGTACAGCTGGGTACGGGGCCATGAGGGGTAGAATGGGCTGAATTGTCGCTTTGTCCTATAGTCCAGGGAAATGGGAGCAAGGGGCTTGAAGGAGGTGTTCACATACATTGGAGTCAAGGAGCCGCTTAAGAGTCAGGGAGGGTTTCATTACTGTGTGAGCTAGTGGCTTGCAAAGGGCCAAGACAATCCACTGAAACTGGAACCATCATTAAGATCCCACAAGATCCATGTGCTGACATGACTGCAGGTGTGCATACTTGGCATGTGAGTTGGGATACAGGTGTGAATATTTTGTACATAAGTTGGAACATGAGTGTGCATGCTTGGTGCATGAGTTAGTTCACATTTGTGTGAACGCTGCATCCCGGATGGTTCCCAGGTACCTGAGGGCCAGGGTCACTTAGCACACCCCAACCCAGACATTGGAGTCTAAGTACCACGCTCACTCTCTGCGCAGGAAGCTGGCTCCATGTTGCCTTTGCATCCAGCTCTGTTGATGAACTGTCACCTAACCAGATCTGTATGACAGGGCGATGTGGAAAAGGGACAGAGTTCCCTGCCCAGAGAAAGCAGGGGGGAAACCATTCAGAATGGAGAGTATCTTGAGAACAGACACAGGCTTTTGGAAATATGTTCTTGGTCCCGTGCAGTGGGAGCATCCTGTGAGTTCCGGGCCTAGACTTCACTGTCTGGTGGCTGCCCACTCCAGGCGCACAGAGATCAGCGCACTTAGGACTTTGATACTTGAATTCAATCCCTTGGGGTGTACTGGGGCTGGGGGGGGATCCTTGACTGGCAGATCTCAATCTCAGAAACTAATCCTCAGCATTGCACAGCTGTTTCAGGTCTGACACCAGAGATGTTGAGAAAAGGTGACTCCTCCCCCAACACCATCCTCATTCTCCAGAGCCACTTACCCAAACCCCCACCCCCCGTCCCCCGCACTGCTTGAAGTCCCTGTTTTCCTCCCATCAGCCTTGGTTGCGCAAATCAAGTCCAGGAGGAGAATCCAAGTGATGAGAGAACAGTGTGTGTGTGTGTATGGGGTGTGGGGGGGGGAATCCTGGGGAAGGGGGAAGTGGTTGGGAAGCTTCAGGACCATTCTCACTCAGGGGAGCCTCTGCATACCCCCACCCCTCCTGAGCTTCAGTCTTCCCACCTCGGGCTGTAGGAGGTGTAGGAATTCAGGATTTGGGGGACCTTGGGCTGGAGCAATAGCACAGAGGGTAGGGCGTTTGCCTTGCATGTGGCCGACATGGCCAACCCAAGTTCAATTCCTCCACCCCCCTCGGAGAGCCCGGCAAGCTACTGAGAGTATCTCGCCCACATGGCAAAGCCTGTCAAGC